CAGTTGTGAGCATCAGCTGCACGTCCCGCATGCTCCGGGCGTTTCTGTGCAAGGCGGCGATTAAGGGTAATGGATGGCAACACTGACCCGCCCCTGTGCACCTCACCGTGTTGCTAGAAGCTCATGTTCCTTGTGTGCAAAATGAAAAGTTGGACCATGTGACTTCTAAGGTCCTTGGCTCCAGCTTTCTGTGCTTCTGCTGGGCAGTTTTGCTGCTGAAGAACAGGGACTGAATTTCAAAGGTGCTGACTTAGGGGCTTCTCCACCGAGGCCATGGCAAACACAGGAGGGTCATCTAAGAGGCCATGTGAGCTAAAAACATAGGCAGGTCCCAGTTGGGTGGCTTAGATAAACTCATAGATGCTAGACTCCCATGGCACCATTAAAGAGGGATTAGGGAATGCTTGGGTTATATTACAAAGCGTAATAATAAGAACATTTAGGAGGCAAGGATTATTATTTTTATCATTCTCACATTATGAGAAATGTTCACTATAGAATAAAGAAATGAAGTGTTTTCCTAAGACACACAAGTAATAAGTGGCAGGGCCGGGATTTGAACCACACAAGCCCAGAGTGTTCACACGACATGCTGTCATGCACTAAAACACCGTCTGAAATACAAGCGCAAGGCTTTGAGGGAACAGGAGCCTTCGTCTCTCGTGGACCTTCAAACTGTTCCTGAGGGCTGATGCGGGGACGACCTCATGCCAGGCCCGGGAGGCCACTGGCTCAGCCCAGTGAGGAAACACCCATGTTTCAAGCTGTCTGTCCAAACTCAGGGACTCTGTAGGAATGTAATTCTCACCTGAAAGGCACGGGAAGCTGTAAACTACAGCTTTGTGATCCACGTTAAAGTCCATTCAACCACAAAACAACTTTTATCTTCTGCCCAGATTATTTCCATTCTTTCCAGGGGTTTGGTATGATCCACACCTGTGACAGGGACAAACCGATCTATCTCCTTCCTTGGACGTCAGGGTCTTCCTTCAGACCAGAAAAGGACAATTTCCAGTGTATTCTGCTGACACTCCAAATTGTCCCTGTGGAAAAAAAGAAGCATGCGTCTCAAAAAGCTGAAGCAAAATATAGTGTGCTGCAAACCCTTCATGTTGCCAATAAAGAAACCAGTCGTTCCTTCGCTCCAAAACCTTTGCTCCTTTTCCACTAGAATAATCAGGTCTGATTTCCATAATGCTGTTCCCCGAGCGAGGAGAGGTGACTTGTGGTCATTTCACACATGAAGCACCTGGGTGGGAACAAGGTCAGGTATGTGCCCGTCTGGGGCCCTTCCACAGCCAGCAGGCCAGGGCACAGGGGCCCGCAAGTGGCTGAGCACACCACCAGCCCCGGGGGGTTTGCACTCCAGTGGCTTCTCCAGGTGGGCAGAGGGGAGCAGCAGAGACGATAATCAGGTGGCAAGTCTGGAGGGCCTGGAAGCAGTGTCCACCCAGCAGTGAGACTGTTCCCTTTTCAGCCAGGCGTGAGCCCGAGGTCACAGATCTCCTTCAAAACCACTCTGTCCTTGGACGCCTTGCCAAGCTCCTTGGTCTTCTTTGCCAAGCGCGAAGCGGGCCAGCAGCAGGCTCCAGGGAGGGCTGGGCTCTCGGGAGGCCGGCACTGGCTGGGGCAGGAATGTGCTGGCCACTGGTCTGGGCAGAGGGTGCCTGACCCGCACTAACCGGGCCTCTCGGCAAAAGCAAGCTCCTCCAGGAGGGTGCTAGCAGCGATGACTGATCTGCTGCGATCTGTCCCACTCTGCGTGCGCCTCTTACCAAGCAATCGTTTTTTGCTTTGCATTCAGCCAGGGAGCATGGTTGGAGCTCCTAGTTTGTGCAGTGCTGCTGGCTAGAAATGCAGAGGAGAAAAAAAAAAACAAAAAGAAAAACCCAGGTCTCTCCACTGAGAGCTGTACAGGTCAGCAGGACGCTCTGAATGTTTGTGTCCCCCTCAAGTTCATAGCACCTGTCCTCAGTGTGCTGACATTGGGCGGTGGGGCGTTTGGGAGGTAATTGGGTGTAGATGAGGTCGTGAGGGCGGAGCTCTGTGATGGGGTTAACACCCCCCCCCCCCCGAGCAAAGAGGACAGCACAGCAGAGCTCTCCGTGTGCACATGCCGGAAAGCATGTGCCGTAGTCTGTCTGTGTGGCTGTAAAGGAACACTGAGGCTGGGTGGTTTGTAAAGTTTATCTGGTCACGGTCACGGTTCTGCAGGCTGTCCTAGAAGCTTGAGGCCAGCATCTGCTGCTGGTGAGGGCGTCAGGGAGCTCCCATCCTGGCGGAAGGGGAAGGGGAGCCGGTGTGTGCAGATCACACGGCGAGAGAGGAAGTGAGAGGGGAGGGAGGAAGGTGCCAGGCTCTTTTTAACAACCAGCTCTGGCGGGGACTCACACGGTGAGAACTCGCTCATGACCCGCTCAAGAACAGACCGTGCTGACACTGTTACCTCAGACTTGCGGCCTCCAGAACTATGAGGATTAGATGTTTGCTGTTTAGACCCCTCGGTCTGTGCCATTCTGTCACAGCAGCCTGAGCTGACCAATACAGGGGGACCGGGCACTGCCTCAGTGGGCCCGTGCTTTGGGTGGGTACCTCGGAGAAAGGGGTTGCTGTTCTTTTCCAGACACCGATAAGCTTCCATTTGAAAATCCCTGTCATTAGAGATACCCCTCAGGGCCTGTGAACGATGCTGACACCTCAGCCTCTTTCAAGTGTGAGTATCTTGGGGTGGCCTGAGTTGTCCTGGGCCCCGTGGCCTCTAAGGATGTGTCCACCGAAATGAAGGCTGTTGAGGCAGAAATAATTTGATAAAGGTCTGTCGGAAGCCAAATGGGAGGACCGACCTGGGGAAGATGCACGAACAGCGTCGGGCGTGTTCCCAAGTCTGCTACAAGTTGGAAAAGGCTTTTATAGGAAAGTTGTCCTTTTTCACTGGAGGGTACAGTGCCAAGGCTACCGATGTCATTGGCCACCGATGACAACATGCAGGCTAAGATGTCCTACGTGTAAGACAATCACTAAAACTTCATGATTCAGAAAGAAATCAGCAGAATGTCATGATTCGGTAACAAATCAGCACCCTTTTCAATGTCAGCAGGTTACATGTTAATCGGTACATCAACAGTTCCAGGCATTCGCCGTGAGGTTTGAGGGACTCGCGATGAGAGTCTTTACTCGGAGACAGGATGTGAGCCGGGGATCGTCACACCTCTCCCAGGTGGCTCCTTTGGCAGCCTGCCAAGGGTGGCCTGTAGGTCACCAGATGGGGGTCAGGACCTGTGTCTCCGGGACGGTAGCCACTGGCCCACGGTGGCTGTTGAAACTTACACCAAATAATATTTAAAAACCCAGCTCTGCGGTCACATTAGCCACCTTCAAACGCCCAGTGGCCACACGTGGCTGGTGGACAGAGCAGACACAGAACACGCCTGCCATCTCCGTGAGTTCTGTCGGGTTTCACCGCCTAGGTACTTGCGTTAAGCATGGTGCACCTGGTGGATGGGCTGTGGGGCGTAGGGGCCTGAACTGGCCGAGCTGGGACTAGGGTGGGGAAGCCCGTGGAGTGAGGAAACCTGCAAGGAGCGTGCCTTGCTGAGCTTCAGTGGGAGGCTCCCAGCACTGTCTGAGCAAGACGCCCGAGCCTTGGCCTCCCTGGAACGTCAGTGCACTTCGTGTCCAAGGCCCCTTCCATCTCTTTCCACGTCCCGTGCCTTCCTGTCTGCCTGTGGCTTCATTTGCTGCCCTTTTCCTAGGTGTACAGCTGAGGCTCATGTGGACAGTCCAGTGGGTCTCAGGCTGCACCTGAGCACCCTAGAGGGCTAGTTAAAACGCAGACTCCTGGGCTTCTCCCCCAGTTTCCGTGAGGCAGAGCTGGGGTGGAGCCAGACACTGCATTTCCAACAAGCTCCCAGGTGATGCCGAGGCTGCCGGGCAGGACCACACTTTGAGAACCGCTGGTGTGGTCTAAAGAATCACATTCATTGATTCATTCATGCAATTAATATTTATTTAGTGCACGCACCAGGTGCTCTTCTGGTGCTGGGATACGGCTGTGAACCATCCAAAGTCCCTGTCCCAGGCAGTTTACGTTCTGGGGAGGGGAGACAGAGTACACAAATCTGGGCTGGGAGGTGATGACTGTTAGGAAGAGTAAGGCAGAGGGAGGGGAGAGGGCTATTTTGTAGGGTCATGAGGACAGGTCTCACCGACAAGGTGACATTTGAGCAGAGTCTTAGCAGGGTGTGTCAGGGAGAAGTAGACCTTGGCCTTTCTGATTCTATTTTGTTCCATCCTCAGCTTTTTAATTTGAAAAATGAGAGTCATGTTAAAAATCAAGGTCATCTGTCTACTCGATAGCAAGGTTTTAAAGACAAATTGATTGTGTGTGTCTGTGGTTCCCTAAAGGGAAACCTGATGCCAAAGGCCACAGATCTGAGCTCAGCTAGCAGTTTTGCCCTCGAGGCCCAGCAACTGATCCTGGCTCTTGAGAACCCCTCACTGGCCACACGCCTCTCTGCGGGGGGAGGAGTCCCCAGGGCTGAGGGTAGAGACGCTAGGTGCACCCCAGGGTAAAAGGTGGCTGTGCAGGTGTGGAGTGCACGAGCTTGGCCGGGGGTCTGGGATGTCCATATATTAGTGCCTTCTGATGAGGGTAGAACTGCTATGGGGACCGGGGGACAGGCCAGCCCCAGGGCTCCCTTGTCTTCTTGTCCCGGGCTCTGTAAACGTCAGAGCAGGCCTGTCAGCTTCAACCGCTTAGCTGGGTGCTCCTTAGCTCTATCCAGCTTTGAGGGCCAGAAAGAAGAATGTCTGTAAGTCAATCAACATCAACCACTGCTGGAAAAATAAGCGAATGTTTTAAGGACTGCGAGTCAGTAGTGGTCTCTTTCTCAATGAGGACAGCACGTGTGTTGGATCAGTTCCATCCCCTCGTATATGAAGTGCGACCTGTGTGCCTTTCACACCTAATGTCTCTTTTCAATGCGTGATATCTTTTCCAGGCACAACTATCTCAGGCCCTAAACGGAGTTTCGGATAAGGCAAAAGAAGCGAAGGAGTTTCTGGTTCAGCTCAAGAACATACTGCAGCAGATCCAGGTGAGCACAGCTCTGGCTTTGAGAGGCTCACTCAGTGTAGAAAGTGTGCAAAGATGCAAAGTTACCAGAGGAAAGGAAAAGTCTTGGGAGAAGAAGCATTTTTTTTTTTTTTTTTGCAATGAACACTGGAAGGTTGATGCGTGCTACTGTGCAGACTTGGTTGCTGAAGGTACCATGTCCTCACTCCCCTGACATGCACATGGCACCTGATATGGGACAGAAATTGTACATGGAGCCAGTTAGAGAGAATTGTACAATGGAGGGCTGCAGAGATGTGATCTAGCATTCTACACGGCCGTGTGGTCCTGTGCGAGATCTGAGTTTGGTGCCCTTGTACCCAAATACGCCCATGTCATCGTGGCCTCTAATATAAACGCATCATTTACTAAATAGATGTACTTACTGAGCCCCTACACCATGTCACCTGCTGAGCCCGACACAGGATGCAAAGATCAGCGAGGCCACAGTCTCCGGCCGCAGGGGGCTCGGTCTGCAGGACAGAGGGGGCACACACGCGTGCTGCCGCGTGAACTGCACGTGCAGAGGAACTGTTCATGCAGATGGGGGGCCCGTAAAGCATTCACGTGTCTGGATGGAGAAAAGGGACCAAGGGCCCCTGAATTCCTAATCAGCCCACAAAAGCCATCCTTCCTAACGACTTAAAGTGCAGACTTCAGCCGCAGGGCATTTTATTAATTAATGATGATGTTTCTGGTGTTTCTAGTGGTTCACAGACAGGAGATGTATTAGTTTGCTGGGGCTCCATAACAAAACACCAGAGACTGCAGGGCTTAAACAACAGAAACTTATTTTCTCACGGTTCTGGAGGCTGGAGGTCTGAGATCCAGGTGCTGGCAGGGGTGGGTGTGCCTGAGGCCTCTCTCCTGGGCTTGCAGATGGCCATCTCCCCCTGTGTCCTCACGTGGTCATCTGTCTGTGTGTGTCTGTGTCCTGCTCTGCTCTTCTCACAGGGACGCCGGTCATATTGGGTTGGGTACACCCGTGTGACCTCATTTTAACTTAATTATCCAAATACAGTCACATTTGGAGGTTCTGCTGGGGGGCGGTCAGGACTTCAATATATGAATTTTAGGAGACACAGTTCGGCCCGTAATAGGAGGCATTGATCCACGCTGGTCTTAGAGACCCGGAAGGATTCTATTATAAATGGAGAAAGCCCCTACAGCAGGAGCACTGCTTTTTTGTTTGGCTTACTTTTTTCTGACTATAAAGAGCACACGTTTGTATTACAGAAATTTTGGAAAGCAGGGAAAAATAGAACTAGGAAAACGTTCATCAATATCCCACCATTGGAAGTGACCACTCTCACCATTTTGACATGTTTACTACAGAGATGCACACACACACACAAGCACATACACACATGCAAGCACACACAATATGTATGGGATTATGCTGTTCGCAACTTATATGCCTGTTTTTCGTCTTAACAGTCTTATGAGCATTTCCCACGGCATTGAAAATGCTGTGAACAAGACTGGAGTGACTGTAGAACACCCCACCATATAGGTGTGCTGAGAGTCACAGGACGCCTCCTTAATTCATATTTCTATTGTTTCAAATTTAACAACTTTGTGGGTGACTCTGGGGTGAGCTTCTCTGAAGTACGTCTTTGTCGGCAGCACTCACCAGATTTCAGCATCTTCTCTCTAGAGCTCTCTGCTTCCCCCCAGGAAAACGGACTGGACTACGAAGCCTGCCTGGTTGCTCAGTGCGATGCCCTGGTGGACGCGTTGACTCGGCAGAAAGCCAAGCTGCTCACCAAGGTGACGAAAGAGAGGGAGCACAAGTTGAAGGTAGGTACCTGGGCGACTGGTACATTTCACCTCTGTTTCGTCCTCCTCCCCAGTGTGGCCGGGCACGCGGCAGGCGCTGGGTGAATGTCAGTGAGCGAGTGAATGAGGCAAGGAAGGGAGGCACCGTCTGGTTCAGCTACACTGTTGTGACTTGACAGAGGCCATTAAACACCCACGCTGTCTCTCCAGAGCCGAGACAGACGCCCTGAGTCTTGCTGGCTTCAAGTCAGAAGCCTACCTCCTCTAAGTCCCTGTTAGAACAAGAGGGACCCCCTCTTGTTCTCCTGTTCTCATCTTGCAGGGCAGAAGTGATCAGTGACAAGCCTGGCTTTGCTCGGGCCTCCAGCTCTGTCCCCTTCCTTGGGGTCTCTCTCACATCTCTTGTACCCAAAAATAGTCGGCAATAACGCATGCAGCTCCTGTTACCCTGAGTACCTGGCTCAGCCCGGTGCTGTGAACACTCTGACTTGAGGAAGGGCGATCATTGTCCAAGGAGCTCTGTCTATGCTAGAGACATTTCCTAACTGAATCAGAAAACATTACTTTCAAGGAGAGAAGGAATGAGTGTTGGCAATGACCCGTGGTTTACCAGTGCAGCGGCTAAGTCCCTTGAGTTGTCCATGACCACACCAACAGGTTGACAGTGAGTCAAGAAGCCATTGGTGTGGCATCTCAGATCATGCCCTGTCTCTGCATTACTGTCCAGAGAGTTCAGAACATTTGCTGTGTTGGAAGTTGTGGCCACACTTGTTGGGAAGTGAGTCCATTTACTCCCCAGGAAAGAGGACACGTGGAGCTCAGGGACAGAGCCAAGGGAGGAGCGGGTGCAAGTGGTCCAGACCAGCACCGCCTCTTCCAGGGCTAGTTATCTGGCTCTGACTGTGGCCTCCCTGCTCTTCCTCCCATGAGACACCTACTGAAAGGAGTGTTCCCATTGCAGATGGTTTGGGACCAGATCAATCACTGCACGTTGAAGCTGCGCCAGTCCACCGGGCTGATGGAGTATTGCCTGGAAGTGATCAAGGAGAACGACCCCTCTGGGTTCCTACAGGTGAGCCTGCCCTGGCGGACTCTAGCTGGCCTTCATCCAACTCCACTTCTGCTCCCCAAACCAGCCCAAGGCTTAGGCAAGACCCTTCCACAGCTTGGGATTGAGTAGAGTCCCTTTTCTCAGTGATCCCAGGAGACCTAGGCTCTCACGTTGGCTCTGACTCTCACTAGCTGTGACCCTAATTTTGCATCATGCATTAACCAAGGAGATGAAACGGCATAATCTCTAGGACCAAAATGCCATTCTGCAGTATTTCTCCCACAAATGGGAAAAAGACAGTGTTTGCCAAACAAGCTGGACAGATTGCACTGGGAGAAGTGAGATAGCAGAATCCACACTGCCCGTGTGCAGTCCTGCGGGCCTGGGCGGCGACTGGCTCACTGCCCGCAGAGACGGTGCAGCCTCCACGGGGCCATCTCTCCAGCATTTAGGCTGACTCAGTGTCATGAGTATCTCTCGGGAACGTGGCAGTGATCCAGCCTCTATCTGCAGAGAAAATGATCCACCCCCTTGATGACTCCCAAAGAAGGGTACACAGGATCATGGCTCTCCAGGGACACGTGCAAATGTCTGATAAGCAGGGCTTTCCAGCAGAGCCGAGGGTGTGGTGCAGTCAGAGTTCAGAGCAGAAGCTACAGAAAAACTTAGAGGAACCACACTGGGGGAAGTGGGCTTCAAAACTCTAGGGGTATGGGGTGTGCTTTCTTCAGACACTGGGGCAAACTACTAGCATGTTCCCCTTGGCAAAGCACTAGATCTAGCAAAACGTATAATGAAGGATGCTTTTGTATATTAAAAAATAGTATCGTGAATCTCACAACAGGGTTTGGCCCAATTTCTTTGAATAGCAAGTGCTTCTGCTCATTTCACATGGGCGCCCTTTTAAAATATGATTGAAACAATACAGTGCATTTTTATATGGCCAGTGTTGTGCGGGCAGGGGTCATTCAATCTCTGCCAGGGCTTGAGAGTGCATTCTTAGCACGGTGCTTTCTGTCCCCGAGCCCCACAGAGACAAAGCTCCTACCCCTTCGTCATCGTTGGCTGCCCAATTATTCCTTTGCAAGTTGAAACCCTAAACTCTTTGCTCCCCTTTAAGATCTCAGACGCTCTGATCAAGCGTGTCCAGGTGTCCCAGGAGCAGTGGGTCAAAGGCGCCCTGGAGCCAAAAGTGTCTGCAGAGTTCGACCTGACCTTGGACAGCGAGCCATTGCTGCAGGCCATCCACCAGCTGGACTTCATTCAGATGAAATGTAGGGGTGAGCCGTGGTTGGCCCCAGTTCAGTCAATCCTTTTTTATTTTTTTAAAAAAGAATCTTGCTTGGTTGCCCAGGCTAGAGTGCAGTGGCACGATCACAGCTCACTGCAACCTCAACCTCCTTAACTCAAGTGATCCTCCCACTTCAGCCTCCCGAGTAGTTAGAACTAAAGGTGCACAATAATTTAAAAAATTTTTTTAGAGAGGGGAGTCTCAGTATGTTGCCCGGGCTGGTCTCTAACTCCAGGCCTCCAGCAATCCTCCCAACTCAGTTTCCCAAACTTCTGGGATCATAGGCATGAGCCACCTTGGCCAGCCCAGTCAGTGCTCCAAAAGGGGCATCCAGTCTGAGCGGGCAGCTTAATGCCGTCGGGAGAACTGTGATGCATGGAGTGTAGGAAATCCAAAGTCCCAGACCTGGGTTCAAGTGTGAGCTGGGGCAGGAGACACCCAGGCTGAGCCTGAGCCTTCCCTTGTGTAAAGTGAGGGTCATTGGTTCATTCAGAAACACTGTGGGGTGTCCACTACATGCCAGGATGTAGCACTATTCTACATGCTCGGGATGAAGCAGTGAAGAAATTGACAAACGTGGGGGGCAAGTGCAAAGGCACTGAGACAGGAATATGTTTTTCATGTTCCAAGAAGAGCAAGGTGGGTTCAGAGAGCCAGGGGGGGACGCGCAGCTAGGGTAAGTAACGTTTATGTCACTTGCCCCACTACAAAACCAGCAGGTGATGGCCAGAACCAGAGTCCTGTGCCACATTCTGCCTCTCCAGAGGTGCCAAGGGCACATTTGGGAGAGGAAATGAAAACCGTTGGCTTTTTATGGCCTGGGGGCGACACTGCAGGATCTGTGAACTCGGGAAGTCCCACCTGCAGAATACGTGCCCATTTTTAGACTGAAGAGAAAACAAGTCTCTTGCACATTCCCACGCTCACTCCCACACAGCTTGCACCTCGGGTGAGGTTTGGAAATGCCACCTGCCCCGCGTGTGAATGAGATGCAGTGCCCGGGGGCAGGGGGAGCTTGGGGGGGGCTGCAGTGGAAGGGGGAGGTCACCCCAGAAATTTATGGTGTGGAGGGAGGAGGCTTGGGGCCACGCCAGATGCTGCTTCTTACTGGGTAGGGTCATGGGGTTCAGAGGGGGACTGAGAGAGCACAATGGCAGAGCCCAGGGAACCAAGAGGACTCCCACGCCTGTTTACCCGAGGGCCGGGAGCCGAGCTGCGTTCAGCCAGCCCTGCATCCATGTCTGTGATGAAGGCAGGGATTTCACCCAGCTAAAACCTGAAATATAGCGCCCTGCTTCTTGGAGCAAAATATATAGTTTTACAAAACCAATGTTGCAATTTTCCCTTTAAAAAAAAAAAGGTCAGAGTGGACTATATCTATTTCTAAAAAATCTCTTAAGCCTAAATAGAGCTAGAAGATTTTTAAAATTCTCCCACTCTCATCTTAATAGAACTTATGATACAGCAAGTCCTTAACTCTTTGGGCTGCCTCTCCAGTACTCCTGGATTGCCTCCCTGGCCCAGATCTGGTCCTTTGACCTAGTCCATGCTCCCAGCAGAAGTTCATATGCATCCGCCCCACCTTCCCAGCCGCAGGTGCAAGCCGTAGGCCAGCTCTCGCTGGGCCCGAGTTGGCTCGTGCTGTGCCTTGGTGGGCACGGGGAACATGGCCGGAATTCCTCGTGTGCTCCTCACAAGTGTGAGAGTCAAAACCAGCGGTTCTCAGTGGGCGGAGGGATGAGGACATGCTTTCTTACAGGCTCAGAAGGGTGGGGCATCTGTCCTGGCCCCTTGAGATTCCAGGACACCCTCTAGGGCTGAGAAGTGCAGAGTCACCTGTGCCTGCCCCATCCCCAGCCCACCTGGAGACTGACTCCTGGGAGGCTGAGAGTGACCACAGGGTGGCCGGGGAGGGAATTCAGCCTCTGTGTCTTCCGGGGGCCAGGAGCCCCTAGGATGGGGGCAGGGCAGGGCAGGGGCAGAGCTGGGCCCGTCCGAGGGCATCGTGTGCTAACCCCTGTGGGTCCCTGTCACAGTGCCGCCTGTCCCCTTGCTGCAGCTGGAGAAGTGCTGCACCCGCAACAACAGCGTCACGCTGGCCTGGAGGATGCCGCCCTTCACCCACAGCCCCGTGGACGGCTACATCCTAGAGCTGGACGACGGTGCTGGGGGGCAGTTCCGGGTGAGGCCTCGCTGCTTGTTCGTGAGGGTGGGGTCCCGATGCGGAGGCCAGGAGTAGGTCTCACTGCCCCAACCTCTGGACCAGCCCGTGGAGCTGCCCAGAGCCCTGCTGCCGCCCTGCGGGGCCATCGGCGTGGGACTGGGACAGAGCTCAGAGAAGGTGTCACCTGCGTGTCCCACACACAGCAGCACGTCCCCATGGCAGGTTTCCTCACACCGTGTCTTGACTGGCTCACAGATTATTTCAGCCGGTCTTGTCTTGGGGAGGTCCAGGTTTCTGGACAGGAGGAAGCAGTCTCTGGCCCTCCTATACCTGGCAAAGTGCTGGCATGAAGGATGCTTGATTGTTGGATTGGGACGACATCCTACATTCATGTCCCTATTGATGGGCTGCTGTGGGGCAGTAAAGGCTCTTGGTGAGCCAGAAATGCAGCTTCTACCCCCCCCCCAATCTGGGACAGCCCGGGACAGTCCCCAACCCCACGCCAGTCCCCCAGGCGAGCACCACCTTGAGATCCACTCTCGAAGTCCAGGTTGACGTGAGTACCGGGGAGAACAAACTCTGCGCCTTCTCCGATCACCTTCGCAGTGCAGACCCCCGTCACTCCTTTCATGCAAATAAGCTGAGAACGGAAAGAGGTCCTTCACCAGAAACCAAGAGGAAAGCCCATGTTTTTTAAAATGAGAAGGAAAACAGACCATTTGGAGATAGTAAAAGAAGCAGCGGCCGAGCTCAAAGGTGGTCCCTCCTCTTTGAGACACGGCCACCAACGCAGGCTAGACCCGAGGGTAGGGCTCATGAGGAACAGCGGGCAAAGCGTGGGCTTTGAGTGCAGCCAGCCCTGGATTTGAACCGTGGTTCCTAAACAGATTGGCCGTGATCTTAGGCAAGTTTCCTGCCTTCTCTGGGTCTCCTTGTGTGTAAAATAAGGAAAGTGATAACAATCTCTCGGGGTTGTGTGAAGGTTAAATACCTTATGCAATGCTCAGCACGCAGCTATTATGATTAATAGCAAGTGAAGAGCAGCCCCCTAAACAAGCGGGCAGGAGAGGAGTTTTAGACAAACTAAGCAGAATACGATGACATCTAGGACAAGGTAGCTTTGAAGAGAAAAGGAAGCAAAGTAAGTCCCTAGAAAACGGTCTTTGGGGTCCGATGCAGAGATAGGGTTTCACTATGTCATTCAGGCTCACCTTGAACTCTGGGGTTCAAAGGATCCCCTTGCCTCAGCCTTCCAAGTAGCTGGGACTACAGATGCGTCACCACGCCGGACAATAGCACCTTTAATGATAGCGCGTGTGTCGGGAAACCATTTACTGAGAGGAATGTTCCGGGAATGCTCCGGGAACCTAACGAGCGGCCTTGGCTGTCTTCCAGGAGGTGTATGTGGGCAAGGAGACCCTGTGCACCATCGACGGGCTTCACTTCAACAGCACCTACAACGCCAGGGTCAAAGCGTTCAACTCCTCTGGCGTCGGGCCGTACAGCAAAACCGTGGTCCTGCAGACATCCGACGGTGAGCACAAGGGTCTCTCAGTGGGAGGAGCAGAGTCACCGTTTTATCCACCCTGACGACACCTGCCAAGGCTCTGACGACTGGGGGCACTGGGCACAGCTGTGTTCCCCGTCCTGGTCCATTCTGGGGCCGTGGGTGAGCCCCTGGGGCAGGAGACGCCCTCCGGCCCAGCCCACTTTCCATCCCCATGGACGGGAATGATCAGCTGCTTCGATGAAAGAGGGAGGAAGGGAGGGAAGGAGGGTGCACGCCCTGTCCCGACTCTGCACGTGGCCCCCTGCCTGCACCCTCCTCCCCACAAGCCAGGAAAGGGAGGATCATCATCCCTTTGCCTCATTGTGTGCGCCCTGCAAAAGGGGACTGAGTGAGGGGTAGCGCAGGGAGGCTTAGCTTCTCCCACCACGAAGGGCGGAGGAGTGAGTGGGACAGTTCCAGACAAGAATGCCCCATGGCTGCCCCCAGATTCGAGCCTTTCTTGCAACAGGAACACACCCCGCCATGCCCCATGCCAGAGTTCAGCCCCGGCGGTTTATGCACCTAGCTGCGTCCTTTCAGGTTGTAGGCAACAGCAGCATATTAATGTTCAGTGGCATTTTGATCAGCATTCAGTGGGAAGCTATGATGGAGGTAAAAGCCACGTTGCAAAGATAGTGCTGCTCCAGCGGGCCCAGCCCGGGCTGCAGAGACTGTTTCCCAGTCCCACCAGTCCTGGGGGGAGTGCCAGCTCTGCATGTGTCCACACGTGTGACTGCCACAGCGGACAGTCTCCCGGGGCAGGGAAGAGAAGCAGCAGGGGTCAAAGGGCACAGCCGGGGGCCACTTCTCTGAAAATGGCTAGACATGCAGAGTCATTTTATTATCTACACCCCCAGAGGAGAGCTCGCTGGCATTCTGCGCCAGCACCCTCCAGCCTAGAGGTGGGTGGTCCTTGCTCTGTGTGTGGGGGTCACAGTTTCAGGGCAAGGGCCTTGCTTCACACAAACTGGGGGGTTTGGAGAACAGACAGGGGTGCCACCCGATGGGCTGCAAAATGGAGAATTGAGCTGTGACCTCAACCACATCCCTGCTTATGAGGTGGACCATCCACACCTGCTTCCCCCTGAACTCGTAACGGGGGTGGGGGTGGGGGTGGGTGAAACGTTTGGAAGGGTGTTAGAGACTAAGACCCCAGGAAATGCATCTTGATTTGGGGATTTAAAGCCTGAATGTCTGCATTCCTTGGCAAGGCTGGGCTCATGGGACTGGGAACTTGAATGCACACAGAGCAGGGCGTGTGCGTTTGTGGTAGGCATACAGGGAAGACCATTCGATGCGGGTGCCAACTTTCTAGCAGAGACGAGTGAGCCCATGCCTCTGAGCCCGTTAGAGACAGCTAGCAAGTTCCACGGAGGAGCCTGACCCTGTTCCTCTCGCCTCCATCCTTTTCAGTGGCCTGGTTCACGTTTGACCCCAACTCTGGGCACCGGGACATCATATTATCCAATGACAACCAGACGGCCACCTGCAGCAGCTACGATGACCGGGTGGTGCTAGGCACGGCTGCATTCTCCAAGGGCGTGCACTACTGGGAGCTGCACGTGGACCGGTACGACAACCACCCAGACCCCGCCTTCGGGGTGGCCAGGGCCAGCGTGGTCAAGGACATGATGCTGGGCAAGGATGACAAGGCGTGGGCCATGTACGTGGACAACAACCGCAGCTGGTTCATGCACTGCAACTCCCACACCAACAGGTACATGCAGGGTGCATTGTGGACCCATGTCCCTCCTGCTGTCCCCAAGGCCAGGTGTCAGGAATGGGGGGAGTGTTCCCAGCCACTTTGGTCTCCAGTTTCCAGGAGGCTTTGACTCTGGCCAGGTAGCCATGGCTGCTGGGATAAAGCCCAGCAGGAATATGCCCCTGTTTGTACACCGTCCCCATGCCACGGTGAGGAGCAGGTTCGGGTGAGCACTGTTCTAGAAGAAACCTAGGCAAGGGGACATTGGGCCCCAGCGCTGACCTGGGCCCAAGGCTTGGCTTAGGTGGGAAGCTCATTCCTGGACCAGGTGGTCAATACGCCACCTGGTGGTCAGTGTCCACATAGCACCAACAGCCCCGTTCTAGATCCTGTTTCCCACCTGCCGGATCCTGCCCCCGGGCACCTTCAGGAAACATGCCCTTCCGAGGAATAGCCTTTGGCTAGTCCGCCAGATGCTCCTCACAACTCACCTTCTGCACGACTAGCTGGTTCTGGCTGACCAACTCATTCCTAATCAGAAAGGACAAGCAAGGTTTTCTTAGCACAGCTGAGAAGCCCAAGGTCAAGGCTGGGACCTCAGCCCTGAGAGAAGGGAAGGGAGAGGTGGGCGAATTCAGCCCTTGGAGACAAGGGGAGGTCAGCCAAGGCCCCGCTGGGAGAGTGTTCCTCACTTTAAGATTCACTCCCACCCAGGGGGTAGCAGTTCTCACTGAGAGCGCCACAGTTTACATTCTCAAAGTCCCCCGTGGGTCCTTGGTGGGACTCGACTCTGAATTCAGCACCCCTCCCTCTGCCACATGCTGCCACATTCTGAGCCCCAGGATGTGTCTGGGAAGATGAGTCGAAGTAGGGTGGGGCTGTTCAAAATGTCCTAAGGCCTGGATGTCTGCGTCTTCACCGAGCTCCACACTCTTGCTTGACCAAACAGAAAAAGGCACCAACTTAGTTATTTTCTTTAGCAGGTGGAGATCCCCTTCTCACCCACGCTCCATGCACCACTCATCAAAACCCTGACTGCTTGGTACGCGGGTCCCAGATACTGTCAGAAGGAGGGGGTTGAACAGCCTGGGCCCTCTAGGGTAGGATCTTCACGCACGGCACGGCCCATTAACAGGGTTATCTTCCAAAAGAAGGCTCAGACGCCGAGAAGAATAGTGCACTGCCACCTTGGGGACTGTGTTTTCTAGGTGAGGGTGTTCCCAACGTCCTTTAACTCATCCCCCCCCCACCGAGTTGTCGCCTACATCGCAGGCTGAGTATGGCGATGGGTCTTCCCGGGGCTTCTCTTCCCAGGACGGAGGGCGGCGTGTGCAAGGGAGCCACCGTGGGCGTGCTGCTGGACCTGAATAAGCACACCCTGACCTTCTTCATCAACGGGCAGCAGCAGGGCCCCACGGCCTTCAGCCACGTGGACGGGGTCTTCATGCCAGCCCTCAGCCTCAACCGCAACGTGCAGGTACCACGCACCCCCAGGCCAGAGCCGGTCTGGCTGCCCCCCGCGGTGCGCCGTGGGGCTCTGCAGCGCGCTTGGGCATAACGGGCTGTGAGGAAGCTGGCTGTGCCCGCCCAGACAGAGCTTACCTACCAGCCTGCCTTGGGCATTCCCTGGAGACAGCTCTTTCTTTCTATTTATTTATTTATTCATTATTTAATTTTTTGTACTTTTATTTTTTTAGAGATGGGATCTCACCCTGTCACCCAGGCTCTAGTGCAGTGGCATGATAATAGCTCACTGCAGCCTCCAGCTCCTGGGCTCAACCAATCTCTTTCTGCCTCTGTCTCCCAACTAGCTGGGACTACAGGTGCATATCACCACACCAAGCTAATTTCTTTTTTTTTTTTTTAGAGATGGGGTCTTGCTGTATTGCCCAGGCTTATCTCAAGCCCCTGGCTTTAAGCAGTTCTCCTGCCTCGGCTTCCCAAAGTGTTGGGATCCCAGGTGTGAGCCACCATGCCCAGCTAGGCAGTCCCTTCTGACTTGCTCACTTGGAAGGAGCAGGGACCCTAAGGTGGCAACTTCTGGAGAAGGAGATCTCAGGCGAGGAGGGCCCAGTCCTTGGGGAGTGCTGATGGCTCAGGAGCCTGATGCAGACAGAAAAAATGAGAGCCTAGAGGGTGTGAGGGGGAGAGAAACGTGGGGTGCCACCCCTTGTCTCTAGTAGGTCCTCTTCTCCCGGGGTGGGGAGTGGAAGGGGGGAGAGGCAGGGTCCTGCATTGGTGCCCATTGGCCCTGAATATTGATGGTCTGTGCCAACCACTTACTGATTGATTTGCACCTCCACTCATTTGCAGAAGGTATTTGAGGCGACCTGAGAGCTGGGCCAGTATTCCGCAGGGTGAACAGGACAGTGTGGGAAAGGAAAGAGGGCCGTGGAAAGGAAGTAGACACAAATGCACAACCTCGAGAACCAGGGCACCCACTGCAACAGGGCATCCACCTCGCCTGGGCTCTGGCAGCTCTGGCCAAAGGAGAACCCGCAGGGGTGTGATTCCCATTACGAGGAAAGAGACACAAACCAACAACGGACCTTAATTCGTGACATTGAACGATGTAGTAAACAGCATATAAACAATACCTCGTGGCCCTGGGCTGTGCGTGGGACAGCCCTCGAGCAAGTAGGGGATGCCGTGTGTGGCTGCCATGCCATCAGAGCACTCGGTCTGGGTGGCAGCCTCTCCCACCCTCAATTCCCTTGTCTTCTTTTCCAGGTCACTCTGCACACAGGACTGGAAGTGCCAACAAACCTGGGGCGGCCAAAGCTCTCAGGCAACTAGGTCCCGGCTCCAGCTGTCCAGCCGTGCGCCCCGCCGTTCTCACGGAGCTCAGATAACCCCAGAGGGCAGGACGGGCAGGTCGTGGGTGCAGCCCAGCAGCCGGGCAGAGTCCTAGAGACACGTTTTCTTTGGGGGCCGGGGTGTGTGTCTGCAGGCCACGCCTGTTGCTGCCACTGTTGGCGGTGGGCACGGTGTGTGTTTTTACCTTCATTCCACCTAAATGTCACAAATCCCACCAAGAAGGACCTTCCTCAAGGGAGTGGGAAGGCATTTGCATTTCATGTTTATGTTTCCTGCAGTCTATTTTCAAAGCTGGCCTTTCTTTGGAGGGAGAGAGGAAGGCAGGCTTTGAGACGGGCATTGGGGAGCGCTCTGTGTACCTGGTAATCCCACGCGCCCCGAGTGTAGACCCTCTGCTGGAACAGCGCTCCTCCTCCGAGCACCAAGGCTGCAGATTCTCATCTGTGCTGGGAAAAGTTCTCCTTTCGTTTCCTGGTCCTGGAGGCTTTAGTATGGTCTGCCACTTGCAGACCCAATTCAGGAGTGACAGAAAGGGGTCTTAGCCATGAGCGCTGGACTTTCGCCTCTCACTGAACTGCTCAGAACCTTTGAAAACAGCTTCCTTAGGTCCTTCACTAGTCAACCAATTGTGTGTGTGTCTCTCTCTGTCTTTCACACTCACACACACACACACACACACACGACAGTCTGCTAAAATTCATTCACTCAGTTCTTAGTTTTTAAACACACAGGACAACACCTGAATTTTAATAACTACGTGATGCGTCTTCACCTGCCCGTAGCTCCTTGCTGGAACTGGCTCCCCAGGAAGTTACCTAAAAACGTATCCAAGTTGCTCTTCCGGGCTGCGCCACCCTCAGACTCGCAAGCATTTACGATGAGACCCGGGGAAAGCCTCTTATAGCCCATCTACCCTTCGTTTTGAATCCAACCCCACTGTCATCATGAAAGCATCGAGAACACAAGAAGGGGCCCCGATGGCAGGCAGGGATGGCTCTGCCCTGATGGGGTGCACAGGACCCCCAGAGAAGGCAGGAGACAGAGGGGCACTGTTGTATGCCTTGTCCCCCAGCAGGGTGTGCCCAGTCCCGTGTGCCCGGACGGGGCTCCAGGGTGGGTCCTCCCCTCCTTCCTGGAAACAGCACGCTGTCCCTTACCCGCACCGAGTCACCCCCTCCTCTCAAAGCGAGCCTGGCCCAGGGGCTCTGAGCCCAGGCGCTGCAGCAGAGAACCCCTCCTCTCCTTTCTCTCTTCTTCCCTGTCCCATGCCACCCCTAGGCCCCCACCTGGCAATAACCTTTCTCTCTCCTTTTTAAAAGAGTACATTTTATCTAGCATTTTATTTCTGAGGTTAAGGAGCAATTCATCTATTGGCTGGATTGGATTTTTCTACAACTCGCCCCGCACGCCGGCACCAACTGTGCTTCCTCGGTTCTGCCTTCCTGTTTGGACCCGGCGCCTGCTTCCTGAGTACCCACCTGCCAGGGCCGCGCAGATCCTCCCCTCTGTCCAGCAGGTGCGACAATCCTACCTCAAAGCTCACGCGCGCTCTTGGCCTGCAAGGCTGCCCGGTTTGCTGTCTCCGCAGATGTGGCCGGTCAGGCCAGCTTGCCCGGGTCGCCAGGAGCTGCTTGGTGCTGTGTAGCAGCCTCTGCGGCTGCGGGACCCTGGGAGCCATCTGCTTCGTCTGGGTCTTGCTTCATCCTGCAAAGTGGCTTCTGGCTCTCTCCCTCCTGTCCCAGAGCCCCATCCAGACCTTTGGAGGAGTCACACAAGACCTGGCCCGCTGCGTCCTCGCCCACACGGCTGCCTCTCTCTGCTTCCACTTTCTTGCAGCTTCGTCCGTAGCCATAGCTCTGGTGGCCTCGGCTCGGAGGATGGAGAAGATCCCTAAAGATTGGGGACACAGAGGAGACACCACTTTCCTGGGGCCCAGGAGGCCATAGCGTGGCCACCACGTCCGGACACCATCAGCTTTGGGAAACATCTCGCTGTCTTTTGGAAAGGAGAGGCCGGCGCCCCGCCCCAGGAGCAAGTGTAGGGTGGGGAAGGTTGGCCAGGCAGGGCCACCTGGCGGGAGCAGCCTCTCCCAGGGAAGCCCCCAGAATCAGCACAGCCCAAGTCACCAGGCGGCCCTGGCTCTGCAGAGGAATGACACCTCAGGGCCACCTGGACTTCTTAACACCCTCAGGGGAGCTGACGCCTGGGTCAGGGGAGATGTGCAAAATGCCCACCAGTGCAGGTGGCCTCTTGAAGAAGAAATTCCCTCACGTTCAGAGAAGGGCAACCAGGCCACCCTCCTCCCCTGCGGAGTGAGCTTGGGGCCTGGGGAGAGTCGCCCTTTTCTGACTCCTCCAGGAGCCCAGAAGCAACACAGCTGATCCGGGGACAGTGTCCAGCTGTCCTTCACAGCCACCTCTCCTGTCTTCAGCACAAAATACCTTTCAGGGACAAGAATGGACCTCAAAGAGAAGGGCAGGTCTATGCCACACACCTGTGGTTTTGAGGGACCAGAAACACGAAAAAGGAATTAACAACTCCCCGTCACCGGGAGGCCCTGAGACGTGGAGCAGAAACGACACACGAGTCAGGGATTCCCGTCCTCCATTGAGTCCGCTGTCTTGTTACAACATGGCGGCGCATTTGTGCATACCGTTGTATCCAGAGATGCTTTTGTCGGGCTGGCTGAGGAGTGACTTGATGTAAATCTGTCCGGCAGTTTCGGTGAGAAAGCGACTCAAAGTAGTTCCAAGCGTGGATTTCCGTCGCGTTGTAAATATCTCCGTAGCGTGGTTCTGCGGTTCGTTCTTTGCTAGTGTGAGCAGGTTTGTCAAAGTGTATGCCTTTTCCTTTTCAAATTAATCTTTTTACAAAGTATCCACTAGCCCCTCACTGCATAGCCTCCCAGCTCCTAATTCAGAGCAAGGGAAGACGTTTCTCCAAGGCCTGCTTTCCCCTCTCTCTCCTCTTTGGGAAAATAATGATCCCGATGAAAGAGGACGCCAGTAATCGAACCCACAAGGTGACTGACCTAAAAACTATGAAACTGTATACAGCTCTAGGCTGCGTCTTCAGCCCTATGTGTACTTTGTAGTTGCAACAACACACCTAGGCGCCCCTGGCCCACCAAGGCTGGGGCAGGTCGTGCTTCCGCTCAGAGTGAGCCCGGGCGACACTGTGGAGCTCACCAGGAGCTGGGGCAGGCCTGCCCTCGCTCTCTCTCTCTCTCTCTCTCTCTCTGTCTCTGTCTCTTTCGGTGCCCCTGCTCTCTGCCCTACCAGAGCACTCTCAGGAAAGGATCAGAATGCAGGATCTATGTGTACTTCTTCCAGGGATATCTGCATTTAAGCCTTAATTCTAGTCGCAAGTGAAAGGCTTGGTCCCCCTGGGAAGGCGTGTTTCAGCACCAGGGAGCAGGTGGCTCGCCCACTGACAAGGCTGCCACCCGTCCTACGGGCCCCTGCAGGCTGTGCGGGGTAGGGGACAGAGGTGGCTAAAATCCTTTGGGAACTCAACTCGTGACTGCTGAAGAAACTATTGCAAGGCCTGTAGGGGGATTCCAGGGTTCCTCAACCTCTACTGACTTTTTGGGGTGGGTCCTGTATACTGTAGGACGTTTAGCAGCATCCTTGGTCCCTACCCACTAGCTGCCAGTAGCAACTCCCAAGTTAGTTGTGACAAGCAGAAGTACCTATAACATTGTCAAATGTCCCCTGCGGCTGTCCCCAGTTGAGGACTGCTAGGGCGTGCTAGCGGAGTGTCATGCATGGATCTACAGTGGTTGTCGGGCTCCCACTTCACTGTCATGTGGATTGTCACCAGGATTCTCCTTGGGGCAGGTGGGGAGAAATGGAGTGAAGATGCCGCCCACCCTCTATGCCCGTTCCTAGAAAGCAAAACGCATCACGTTCATTTTCCTTGGCCACATTTACGGGAAGCAACAGGGACTTCTTAATAGGTTGTGGCCTTCAACTGGTTAAAAAAAAAATGAATCAGATATTGTCAGTAGATAGTCAAGGTCTATGCTGATCCTGGAAAATTTTAGGACTTTTTTTGCAAGCAAGCAGGTAGCGATGCTCATCGATTGCATCCTTTGGCAGTTCTTGAAGACAAAGGGCTCGTGGCAGCTGTCGCTGTGTATGGGCTGTAAGAGTATCACATCGGTTTGGGGCAGGACGTGGGATCAGACACCAAGTTCATCCCTCCGATACTGAAAAGAGATCCTCTCTTAGCCGGCTTTGATTCATGGCATGAGTGGGGGCAAATCTCTTAATCTTTCTGTGCCTCAGTATCCCCGCCTGAAAATGGGACTAGTTGTACTAACCTACCTCCTCTAATGTGTGGTGAGGATTACAGAACAACACTTTTTAAGGAAAAAAAATGCAGTCTTTCATCTCTTCCCTCTAGGCTAACGGCTCGCATTCAATGAATCATACCTGCGTGGTGATTTTCCAGAGTGTTCTCGGACCACAGCGTCTTCCAGCCAGGTCTCCTTGTGAGCGGTGCAAGGAGCTGGCCTTGAGGGGTTAATACAGACATTTAAGACAGGTTTCGAATGACCTAGAAAGTAACACCCAAATGTTCCCACTCCCGGTGCAGCCTGTCTTAACGGCACTCCATGCGAGTGCCGTGAACAGGCCACCTGGTAGCAATTTCACTGTTGGTCCCCAAGGTGTCCCCCTTCAACCAAGGAAAGACATCGCTCCGCTGTCTGCTTCCTTGGCCACGTAAGTTCTGGTATCTACGGGGTCTCTCAACTCATAGCTTGTCTCCTGTGTTTCCAGAGGTCTGTGCAGTGGAGCGGTTTGGGGAACCAGAGTGTATGAGGGTGACGAGATGCGCCTGCCTGGGCTGAAAAGCAAAGGGGACCGGCGGGGCATCACGTTGCTTTCAGACAACAGAAGATGCCAGGGCTCCACTGGCACAAGCTATGGAGGGGTGGGAGCAGGGGGGTGGTTCTGGCTTTTTCGATGCACGACATTGACTGCAGTCAGCTGGGAGTTGAGACCTCTGGGGAAGTCGCCCCCGGAGGCGTCGCTGTTCTCGAAAGGAGCGCAGCTCGTGGAGGGCGAGGCTGCCTGGCCTAGTCCTGGGCAAGGCCCAGGGGCATGTGGGCACTGCGGACCAGGCCAGACCCTCGGACGAGCCTGCACGGAAAGGTCAAGACACAGGCTTCTGGTTTGGGGAGGTGGCCGCTCGCAGCTGCAGAAGCAGGAACCCGTCAGGTGCTTGCTCAGTGAGACCCAGCCTGGGAGGTCTTTCCAACCGCGCCCACCCCGGAGACTGGACGTCCAGAGCCCCAGACTCTGGGCAGCGAGAGGACTCGGGAGCGGACGAAGCAGAAAACGTTAAATGCATGATGTAGAATTGCTGCCTTCGCACTAAGCTGTTGTATTAAGCATGACAGGCGTTTGTTTGACATTGGCAAAGGAATCGAACAAGAAACAAAAAGCTTTGTGTCCTTGTTTTTTGGCTGTCGATAGAACTTCCATTTCCCTGCCTTCCTTTACCCTGTTTCCCCCAACCCATCGCACCCACTTTCTGTCACTTGTTGGTATTTGGTGGCACCTCTTGGTCCTGTTGTTCATGTTCCACTGAAAACACAGGGGTGTGGGGGGGGGAGTGGTAAGAAAAGCAACTTTTTTCTAATTTTTGTATTGGTATCCACAAGCGTTTGTATTTTTTTGAATTGCAAACACTGTGTTTTCTGGTCTTTGGGGGTTGGTTCAACTTTCTGTATTACCTTTTGGAAAACCTGAGTTTTACCACAGTCTTAAGCAGATTTGAAATAAATTCTTTTGACACTGCCAACCACTGAACGACTGAAAGGCAAAGGGGACTGGCAGGGCATCACGTTGCTTTCAGACAACAGAAGGTATGGTCTGTAATTCCTGCAAGGCAAGGTCTGCCTTTCTCCAAACCGGCCCCGAGACTGCCCAGCCGGCGGGGCAGAGGCTGCTGGAGGGGGGGCCACGCTGGACTCTCATCAGTGGGGCTGGGGCATTGCTAATAGCTGGGTCAACATCTGGGCATCGGTGGGTAGCAGGGTCGACATCTGGGCATCGGTGGGTAGGGGGGTCAACATCTGGGCATCGCTGGGTAGCGGGGTCAAAATCTGGGCATCGCTGGGTAGGGGGGTCAACATCTGGGCATCGCTGGGTAGGGGGGTCAACATCTGGGCATCGCTGGGTAGGGGGGTCAACATCTGGGCATCGCTGGGTAGCGGGGTCAAAATCTGGGCATCGCTGGGTAGGGGGGTCAACATCTGGGCATCGCTGGGTAGGGGGGTCAACATCTGGGCATCGCTGGGTAGGGGGGTCAACATCTGGGCATCGCTGGGTAGCGGGGTCAACATCTGGGCATCGCTGGGTAGCGGGGTCGACATCTGGGCATCGCTGGGTAGCGGGGTCGATATGGTTCTGCCTCAGGTGCCCGGGAAATATTGAAGTGGTGACGTAAGACTCTCAATCATAAGGCACCACCTCAAACAGTGGGGAGGTCCTGGAATTCATTTTTGCAAGAGGTAATGAGGCCGGCGATACGCAACGGTTAACATATGGATAAGACACATTCAGGAGTGAAAAACAGATCACAGGTTCTACACAGAGATTTGGGGGAAACAGCCAGGAGCCTAACCAGCCCCTTCATCCACACACACCAAGACCAGATGCGTCTGACCCCAAAACTCTGTCCCCTGCTGCCTTTCTCACATGACGATCCTGAAGGCAGCCACCTCACATGGTCCCTGACAACCCCTGAGACTGGCGACCTACAGGATCGCCGAATGGGCTCAGCTGGGTAGGGGCAGACGCTGACATTAGACAGTGGAATGTTTCTTAGTGGCTGCTCTCAGGGTCAACACCCATGGATGCCAAGGGCAGGCAGCGGGATCGGACGGTGGGAGGCACAGAGGTGCAACGCAGACCCAACAGAGTCCTCAGCCAGCTCAGCTCTGGAGTCGTCCTGAGTTGGGATGAAGGGACTGGGCTTTAACACCCTTGCGTGGTCCATTCACTGACGGCCGGTGCCCCAGGAAGGGGATGAGGCGATCCCTGCCAAGCGTTAACACCTGAAGCCCGTCTGCCCTAACCACACTCAGCAGCTGGGGGGGGTGAGTCCTCCATCTCTGAAAGGGAATCTAGTGGGACATCACGGTGTCCATCACAATCTGCCACTGGGCCCACGCAGGTCTGTGCTTCACGCAGTGTGAGCAAGAAGCTCTTCCAGAATTCCGGAGAGGCACACTTAGAAGAGGAAGGTCAGTGGGACAAACTCTATTCCCTGCCACTGTGGCTGGCCTTGGAGCTGCAATTGACACTCACTGTCTGCTTCCCGCCGACCTTGGTGGTTGACCTGTTGGAGTGACCCAGGCCCTCAGCCCTGGGGAGGTCGGAGCCTCAGGTCCCTGGACCCCTTTCTGGGCAGGGTTGCTGCACTTGTCCGGTCACCATCAAACTTGGACAAAGGCAGTGTCCAGGGGAGACGCACAAGTGGATGGCCAGGGTGCAAACAGGTCCCTCCCTGACACCATGTGACAGCAGCCGTGCTTCCTCTTCACGGTCAGAAGGAGGTGGCTCTTCTTGCCCAGGCAACAACCTTAGTTCAGTGGGACACTCGCCTTTGGGAAGCAGGGTCTCTAAGTGGTGGGGGTGGGAATCCCGTTCCTCGAGCGGGTCCCTGGGAGTCACGGTAGACGGATCATGGATTCTTTTCACTGGGACAGAGCACCTTATAAATGTAAGGGCGTTCAAGGTGGCTTAAGGTGTACGCCGCTCCCTGGAGGATGCTGCCTCCTGCTCACCAGGTGTCACCTCTGAGATGGCACTTCAGCGGCACCTGCGACAGGCCTCCCTTCATCCCAGCAGGACAGTGATTCAGGGTGATGGCCCCAGAGCACGCAGCCATGCTCATATCCCTTTTGCCGTTGAGTGGGGCTCTTGGTTGGAAGTAGCGCTGTCCTGTGGGGCCCCAGGCCAGGGGATGATCAAACGCTCCTCATGCCCTTGTGACAATGGAGCTGGCAGAGACCTGCAGGCAGGAGAGGAAAACCTGTGCTAAGAATGGGTATCTGTTCCTGTCACAGTGTTTACTTCTCCTTCCGGGGTGGAAAGGAGCCAGTGTAGACAACATGGCACCAGGTGGCTGGTTGGTCTCCTCAGGGGAGGGTCCCTCACTGGGGACTCAGTGCTGGACTCTGTTGTAGGCAGGTTGAACAACTCAGCAGCAGCAGAAATGGGATCCGCCCGAGTAACAATATGGCAGAGCTGCCAGCCACGCTGGGCTTGAGCCCATTCACGACGGAAGCACAGGCTTTCCCCCTTCGCCAGCTGCTCCCCGCGGTGGGCTGAGGGAGGGAAAGGCGTCTGGGTCTTGGCTACACAGCCTGCTCATGCTTGATCCTGGGTGCCCAGTGGATTGCTGCGGGGCCCCCGACTTTGTGACGTGGAGGGTCTGAAAGATCCCGGCTCACGATGAGACTTCTGGCCTCACGGTCACTCGGCGTCAGGGCCAGCAGCATGCCGGCAGCCGGTTTTGCTGCAGCTGGTGTGACCCCCCGAGTTCCCAGGCCCTGCACTCAGGCTCCAGCCAGCGTCCCTTCCCCCACAGTCCTGCTACTGATCTCTTTGAAGATCAACTGGATCCCGCCAGTCTCCTGCAGCGCTGCCTGGCTGCCCGTCACGCACAAGCAGATTCCTTAAAGTGACTTTGAAAACGTTCACCATCTGTCCTTGACGCTCCTTCCATCCTGAACTATGTATTCATAGTTTCAGTTTCCTACACCTGCCTGGTCCTCTGCCCTCTCGGTGCACGCTTCTCTCTTGGACCAACACATTCGTCCCCACCCACCCTTCCCTGGTGCCGCAGGTCAGAGGTCGCACAGCCCAGGGCCTGCGTGCGTGGCACAAACACAGATGAAGAAACCAGTGAGCCAGTCACACCTTCAAGATCCTCTCTCAGGAAACCCATCTGGACTCTCAGATACAACTCAATCATGTCCCTTTTGTATAAGTTCATGTCCTCACACACACCCCAGGGATGAATCCCTGGACGGCAGGGACACTGTGCTTCTGTCATCTCTGTGTCTCCTCACACCTGGCGTGACCTCTGACCTGTGACAGGTGCTCAGTATGGTATGTTTGGTCTAAACATCATCCACAAACAAGTGCCTGAGTTCACGTGAGAATCCTTGGCCCTGAGCTTGGAGGAAAGATGGGTTTGGGATGCACAGAGGGGAGAGAAGGGACAAGTTACCCTTGCTAAGAAAAAACCCAGGCAACGATGCTGGTGCAACCGCAGCGTTGGGAGCCGCTGGGCCAGCAGTGGGAGGGTGCGCAGTGCTGGGAGCAGAGAAAGAGGGGGTGCTACAGGGCAGGAAGTTTGGGTTTTTCCCCGTTAGGCTGATAATGTAACAAGCAAATGCTTCCTTTCACCATCAGTCCAAATGAGGTAAGAGCTTCCACAGTTATCCTAACAATGCTTTTCTACTTTCTAATTACTTTGTCCTTGTAAGAATTGGGCTCTGCAACCCTTTTTCGGCCAGTAGGGCTTGTCCTAAGGCCGAGGGTCTGGTGGCATCCCAGTCCCTGCCCACCCCCCTGCTAACGCAGAGTTGTGTGTCCTGAGCTGCGTGGAGGCGTGTACTGCGGGTACGGCTGGGAAGCAGCCTCTGCTGGAAGGAGACAGCAGCACTGGAAGCCACAGCGCGGCCATGTTTGCCCTGGGCACTGGCGCCCACATCCCTTGCCTTGGTGGCCATTACCAGAGTCTTAATCATGACCCCGTCTTCCTTTGGAATGTTTTTTGTTGTCACTTCTCTGCTGCTGACCTTGCTGGAGGAAACCTCATCAACAGTAAATAAACAGCACAGCCTTTTAAGCCTGATCTTCAGTCCTTAAACCACAGGGTTTTTTGTTGTTTTTGTTTTTAGCCCCTATACCTTCTAGGTGTTTCCAGAGCACTCAGTGATCAGAAAACTGCTCCTTAACCCTTTGCACTCAGATGTTGAGTGTGGATAATGAGAAAAAAGCAACCGAGTCAAAGGGTTAAATATTTACACAGTAAATTAAAAACTGAAAACAGAAACCAGCTTAGTGACTTATACTTGGGATGTGCATGCTTTTCCAAAATGGACTACCCAGGGGCTAAGGTCCAGCCTCTGGCTGGTGCTCAGCTGAGCCAGGATGGCTGCCGGGAGGTGGGGCCACCCTGTCTCCAGGCTCTGCGAAGACAGGATGTTAAACTATAGCAGTTGTTGATCATATCTAGTCCCTGAGACTTCCCCTCATGCCTCGTGTCATGTTTGAGATCTTCTACACCTTTTAAAAAAATTACTCTTGATGCCAAAATATATATCCTAATAAATTCTGCCTTTCAAAATAAAACTAAAAAACAAAACACTCATTCCAACTTTGCTGGCACTCTTCCAAATATCTTGTGAGTCCCTCATTTGCCAAAACCAATGTCATCTTAAAGTCACAGAACAAAGTCACTGATTTTTTTTTGGCCAAAACTTTATTATTTACTAGGCTCGGATCTGAATTTTTTGGCAATTAAAAAACAAAACAAAACAAAACAAAATTATTACCATCATTGAAGACCTTTTTTTTAATGTGCCACACTTGAGAAATTGCCATCACTTTAAGTAAGGGCAAAAAACTTTGAGGGAGACAACCTTGCTTGAACATAGGTAAGAAGATACAAGTTAAAATCCCCTGTTGTATTACTTAATAGTCACAGTCATATATACCTCAAAAGTTGTCTTTTATTTATATAACTTCTTATGAAGTAGATTTCATACACGTGGTTGGCTGAAAATTAAAACTGCTTTTCTACAAAACAAAGGATAAATTACCAGATTCTTGGTTCTTTCATGGTATCATGATATTAAACCATTAAAAATTTTAAAAGGCAATTTAATGTAAATTACTATATTTACAAAACAGTACAGTTATGAAAAATTGTTATTACGACCAAACGCACCAAATACCAGTGAGCACAAAACTGAAGTGACGCTTGCTGGAGAATACTAAAGATGCTTTTCAGTAGGTTCACTTCATATTCACGCTACACTTGGCCCAACATGTTCAGCACCGTAAAGCAGACACTTCAGCAACTAGTAATGTTATTTGTTTGTTTACTTTTGTTTTGTTTTTTTTGAGACAGAGTCTCGCTTTGTTGCCCAGGCTAGAGTGAGTGCCGTGGCGCCAGCCTAGCTCACAGCAACCTCAAACTCCTGGGCTCAAACAATCCTCCTGCCTCAGCCTCCCGAGTAGCTGGGACTACAGGCATGCGCCACCATGCCTGGCTAATTTTTTTCTATAATATTAGTTGGCAAATTAATTTCTTTCTATTTATAGTACAGACAGGGTCTTGCTCTTACTCAGGCTGGTTTCCAACTCCTGACCTTGAGCAATCTGCCCGCCTCGGCCTCCCTGAGTGCTAGGATTACAGGCGTGAGCCACTGCACCTGGCCCTAGTAATATTATTTGATTGACTTTTTTCCTCCAAAGGAAAAAGCAGTCTGTGAAACATGAAATAAGAATCATCTAGAAGTCTTGCATGGGTCCAGTTTCAGTATAGCTGACACAGTTCTTCTCATTCCTCTTGTTACCTGATAAAGTACTTCACTTAACCACTCTGGAAGAATTTATTTTCTTGATATCAACTGGGCTCAGAATCAATGTCCCATTTTTGAATTTTCCAACCTGCCCAATCCTTCCACTTGACAAAATACTGGGAGCTGACTTCTTCTTTTTGGCTTTCCTAGAGGTAAAGTCAGAAAAAGGTACTATGAATACTCAGGCTTACAAATACACATGACAGCAGCACCATCAGCCAGCCGCCGCAGCCTGGCCTGCACACTCCAGCTCCCGCCCCATGCAAAGCCCCCACCCCTCCACAGCACAGTCCCTCCAACATGCCAACTGCCCTCCTGCCTCAGGGCCTTTGCACAGGCTCCCTCTGTGTGGAGTGCTGTGCTGCCAGGTCTTTCCAGGCTGTCCCTCAGTTCTCAACTCAGATGTCACCTCTGTAGAGTGACTTCCCAGCTCACCCCTCATGACTTTCTTTCACAATGCTCTATTTTTAACCTTGTCACAGTCCTTGCCAAACCCGACATAACCTGACTTCTCTGTATGTTTGGGGTGCTTCCCTCATTACTCTCTTTGGACAGAGGCACCTTCCGTGGGACCGTGGCTGTATACCAACAGCCAGGGCACCTGTGTGCCTGGCACGCTATGTGCCCTCACCAGATAGCATCTGACTGCTTCATGGCATGTGCAAGCATACTAGGAGTCCAAGAACAAAGGCCACAATAGCCAATTTTGAAACAGTAATTTGAAGAGAGAGAAAGGCACTTGAATGAAAACTAAGAAAACAAGCATAAGGCAATAAAATCAATGTTCCATTATTCAAAATTATGGTACCCCACATTATGTGGTATGTCAAAGAACAGGCAACACTGACCCAGACTATGGTATCATGGCAACAAACACTCTTAGGAGGGAACAGAAGTCTTCTGTTGGAAATGTCAATCGTAGCTTTTTCAGGAGTCACTAGAGGTGTCTGTCTTTGAAAATGGGAGACTGGAGAAGGTTCCTAATTCAGTTCTGAGGCAATTATTTGATCTTGGGCAATTCACTAAATCCTACCTTCCCCTACAGCGTCTCATTAGGGTCAATGAGAGACAGTGAAGCAGTCTAACAGGCTAGGAACATTGCATGTTTCAAGGTATGATTTTCAGAACTAATCCACAGACTTACCTAGACCATGCAACTCTAGTGCCTGATGGCATCACTCACCTGTCTTCCTGTCCTTTCCTCTTCTTTTTCTTGAAAATATCTGTTTCTTGAGCCTGATTTCAGAATTTAAGATAATACATATGTCAGTAATGGATAAAGAAGATTCAAAGAAAGGTAGGAGGTTTGTGACCAAAAGGTAGGAGGTTTGTGACCAAAAGCTACTGAGATACCATTTATTTTTAATATTTTTTCAAGTAGGCATATTAAATATCACAGTCTCAAAGTTTCACCCTAAAACCCTTTCAAAAGTGTGAAAGGCTATTTCCTTTTTGGTGAAAGGTAGGGAGTGTGACACTCGTTACCCTGTGGTTTCTCATAGGCCCTTGTGTTCTATACAATGTAAAATGCAAAAATCTAAGTATAGGAAAAAGGTCAAAGTAGCCTACAATATCAGAACAAGGGTGCCATAGTTTGGATATCTGACCCTCCAAACCTCATGCTGAAATGTGATCCCCGGTGTTGGAGGTGGGGCCTGGTGGGAGGTGTCTGGGTCACGGGGGTGGATCCATCAGGAAGGTCCTGGTGCCTCCTCACTGTAATGACTGAGTTCCCACTGTTAGCTCCCTCCTAGTTCCCTTGAGAGTCTGGAACTAAAAAAATAGCCTGGTACCTCCGCCAGCCCCTCACTCCTGCTTCCTGCTCTAACCATGTGAGTCTACACCCGGGGGCTTCCCTCCACCTTCTGCCATGAGTGGAAGCAGCTTGAGGCTTTCACCAGAAGCCAAGCAGATGTTGCTCCAATGCCTCTTGTGCTGCCTGCAGAGCTGTGAGCCAAATAAGCCTCTTTTCCTTATAAATTATCCAGCCTTAGATATTCCTTTACAGTGACACAAAAGGACTAAGACAAGGGGTTTGTTATTTCAAAGCAAACCTTGCATGTACATATGCCAGATTACTTGACTGCTATTATGAAATGTGGATGACTCAAAGAAGTGGAGACTATGTGACCCTTCAACTCTGGTGTCTTACTGCTTTCCAAGCAGTGGCCTCCTGCATTCCCCTGGCAAATTGCGCCCATCTTTCGATTCTAGTTTTTTTTTTTTTTTTTTTTTTGAGACAGAATCTCACTCTGTTACCCGGGCTAGAGTGCCACGGCGTCAGCCTAGCTCACAGCAACCTCAAACTCCTGGGCTCAAGCAAACCCTTCTGCCTCAGCCTCCTAAGTAGCTGGGACTACAGACATGTGCCACCATGCCTGGCTAATTTTTTCTATATATTTTTAGTAGGTCAATTAATTTCTTTCTATTTTTAGTAGAGAAGGGATCTCGCTCTTGCTCAGGCTGGTCTCGAACTCCTGACCTTGAGTGATCCTCCTGCCTCGGCCTCCCAGAGAGCTAGGATTACAGGTGTGAGCCACCATGCCCAACCTCCATTCTAGTTTAATAAAGAACAGACAGTTACACCTACCATTCTCTTTTCTTCTTCCTTTGCTGCCTTTTTTTCTTTGATTTGCTCCTGCAAAACCTTGTAATTCACATAACTGTTTTTGGGAGGCTGAAATGAAAGAAACATGTACCACGAAATTTTATTCTGCAAAAACGTCTCAGTGACCCTTTCCCTGACTTGCCCTTGGCTGTCCCCTTTTCCACATCCTGTCTGGGGATGGAAGGCAGCAGCCCTTCACCTTAGCTCCCAGCATAATGGCACGTTCCTGTTCCAGGACTCTTTCTTTTCCTTTTCCATAACCCGTGATCCCAAACCGGTGTACTTCCAGACGAGCCTGTGGACACAAAACAGAATCAGACCCAAGTGCATTCCAACAATGCCACAGGAAAAAATGTCGCCCCAGGAATAATGTATTTCAGATCTGCTGTGCTGTAGTAACGGCGCCGAGTAATGGCACTTCTGCTACAGAGTGGATGAGGGAGCTCTGTGGAGGCTCCCACAATGATGTCACCAAATCTTACAACACTTTTCTCCTATGTTTTATTTAGACAGCTGAAACAAAAACTTACCTCCACACAAATGAGTAACAGAGCTAGGACCGATGCAGAGTTCTGCAATACATTAGGATGAGCTCTAAAACAAGCCATCACCCATAAAGGCAATCATTTCAACGGAAAAGTACCTCTCCAAACACACCTACTCACACTTAGAAGCCATTTATCATAGCAGCTTCAAACACAGATCCATGTTTTTAGAAGGAAAAGAAAAGTCACTGAGACCCACGCTTAGCAGTTGAATTACTTCCTCCTGGCTTTCTTCTTAAGCATTTTTAAAACCTTATTACAGCCATAGAATATACATATCCCTGCTTTTCTTATATACCACTGTATCATTGGTGTTGTAGTCATAAAATCATCATGTATTAAATGAATTCTCAATCAAGAGAATGTAGTGTGATTTGTTTAAGCATTTCCCCACCGATTAAATATGTAAAATACTCATTTTTTGGTATTATAAACAAAGCTGTTAATTTATGATAAATTTAATAAGTATATAAATAAGGTTAATTATAAACAATCTAACAATCTCAAAGTACATACCTTTTCTAGATTAAATTCTTGTATATCCACATTCTTCTTAAAAACACTAGTTTCAGTCTGCAGAGAAAAAAATTCTTATTAAGATCTGTTACTATAACATTATAATATCAATCACCAACAGAGTAGATAGGTTTTAAGAAGCCTTCCAATTGACCATCTCACACCCATTAGATTGACTACCACCAGAAAAACAGAAAATAACAAGGATGTGGAGAAATTGGGACCCTTGTGCTCTACTGCTGGGAATGTAAAATGGTATAGCCAATGTGCAAAACAATACAACAGCTCTTTAGAAAATTAAAAATAGATTTATCATACAATCCAACAATTCCTCTTCTGAGTAGATATCCAAAAGAACTGAAGGTAGGGTCTTAAAAAGACAGTTGTACACCTGTGTTCACAGCAGCACTGTTCACAATAGCTACAACATGGAAGCAACCAGATGTCTGTCAACAGCTGGATGCAGTAAAGAAAACGTGGTGTGTACGCACAATGGAGTATCAGCCTTAGAAGGAAGGAGATCCTGACACCTGCTACAACATGGATGAACCCTGAGGACATTAGGCCAAGTGAAATAAGCCAGTCACGAAAGGGCAAACACTGTATGATTCCACCTACATGAGGTACCTGGAGTAGGCAAAATCATACAGAAAAAGGTAGAATGGTGGTTGCCAGGGGCTGGGGGAGGAAGTAAGGGGAGGTAGTGTTCCATGGGTTCAGAGTTGCAGTTGAGGAAGATGAAAAAGTTCTGGAGATGGATGGTGGTGATGGTTGCACAACACTAGCAATGTACTGAATACCACTGAACAGTACACTTAAAAATGGAAAGATGGCAAATGTTGTTATGTTGATTTTGGAACAGTAAAAAAAAAAAAAAAAAAAAATTGGAAAAAAAGTACCCTGAAACTAGCCCGGATAGCCAAATAGTATTTAACTGCATTGAACCTAGAGAAGGTTCTCTAAATTTGGCACAAAAGGAAGTATCTGCCAGTGTGTATTAGGTGTTTTTGGTGTATGCACCATAAAGAGGTATAAAGATGGACTTAACATGAATGTATTAGAGGTTCATGTTAGGGGAAAATTTTCATATGGGAGAAAACATAACAGTCTAGAAGATGCATGAAGCCCACACATGCTAGAACAAGTTTATTTCTATTAACCAATCTGCATGTCTAGCAATTGAAATCTTCAGATTAGCCTGTATGTCAGTTAAAAATAACTTATTTTCCAGAACCTTTAAATAAAGGTATTTAATATTCAATAATAATAATAATAAAAAGAACCCCATTTCTACTAAAAAAAAATAGAAAGAAGTTAGCTGGACAACTAAAAATATATAGAAAAAATTAGCTGGTCATGGTGGCACATGCCTGTAGTTCCAGCTACCCAGGAGGCTGAGGCAGAAGGATCGCTTGAACCCAAGAGTTGGAGGTTGCTGTGAGCTAGCACCAGGCAACAGAGTGAAACTCTGTCTTCAAAAAAAAAAAAAGAAAGAAAGAAAAGAAAAGAAAGTCATGTTAAAACAGAGGCAGAAAGATGGTAATTATAAAAGCCAAGGAATGCCTAGAGCCACCTGTGGGCAGAGGCGAGGAAAGATTTTCCCCTAGAGCCTTCAAAGGAGCATGGTCCTTGAACACCTCGATTTCGGACTTCTGCCCTCCAGAACTACAGGAGAAAAAATTTCTGTAATTTTAAGTGATCAAGCTCATGCTATATGTTACAGCAGTCTCAGAAACTAATTCATAGAATCCTCATTTCCTTTTCTGATATACAAAGGTTTATGGAACATGGGGGATGCTACAGAAATGTGATACTTGGATTTTAGCAATGAATTTGACAAAGCCTTTAAGATATCATTGTAGAGGGGGAAAAACCCAGTTCAAAGGAGCACCCACATCTCCCTTATAGAATGAATTTTGAGTCGGATTTACAAGTTCAGTCTGAAAGAGACTGGTGCTCAGTAAAATCAAATTGCTTTTCCAACAGCACGTAAGCTCCTTGAGAGCAATAATTTCTGTACATTTTGTTCACTGCCATATCCCAGTGCCTAGCACATAGTAGGAATGCCAGAAAGAGTGGTTGAAAGGGCTAACTCAGCAGGCCTGGGTTTATTAAACCCTGCCCATTCCTAAGAAAGTCCTAGTTTCATGATTGGCCACTGGATGGCTCCTGAGAACTGAGCATTTAGAATACTCTGTGTTCCTGCACACCTGAGACTTTGAGCCACTGCTTTATCAAGTGTGCCCAGATAGTTCATACTAACAATGTGACTGATGGTAAACATTGCTTTTCTCTGGAGGCCTAGAGCTTAAATAACTAAGGTCAGTCTGTATGCCTACATGACTGAGTCCTGTTAGTCCTTTTAGCAAATCCTCAGGCCTGAGGGTGCTTTTCAGCCCTCCAGACACGGTATATATTCACCTAACACCAGAATACCAGGGGTTTCATCATATATAAATGAGCTAATCAACTCATTACCTTTGTGCTCTCTCCTTGATCTGGCTTCAGTTTTCTTTTTTTATTGCTGCTATGAAATTCTACCACTTCTATTTGTTCCCTGTTTTTCTTTAGGGAAGAGGGCTGTACTGCAGCAGCAGGGACTTCTGGTCCTGAAGGGGAACCTGTGGGGGTGCCAGCAGGAGCACAATGCCGCTCTTCTCTGAGTTCCTTGAAGAAGCTAGAGGTGCTCTTCCTCTGGCCTCTTGTGAAAGAACCCAATAAGGGAGCTGGTTCTGTTGCCAAAGCCACCGATGCCCCCACATCTGTCTTCTTGTTTTCCCTTTTCTTTCTGATCCTCTTCTGTTCTGTTTCATCTGCTGTCTCTCCTATTTTTTCAAACACAAAAAGGAAAATAAGTATTTTTTGGTTTTAGCTCTCACCAATATGAAATCATATGAATGTACTTGTGCATATCCCACAAATATAAGCACCCAGAACACACACCAGGAAATAAACCATTTGTTTTTCTTCAAATAGGGTGTATTTGCATAATTTATATAATCCAAAATGCAGTCATCTTTTGCTAGGTAACTATGTCTTTGACCCTTATTAACACAATTACTTTAGTCCTCACCCTGGTCCCTACTCAAAGTATCATCCCAGCAATAGTCCTCAGGACTGGTAATCCCAATTGGTTCATGCTTTATACTAAAAATGTCAGTCACTGAAGCCAGTGTTTCTTTTTAACACTTTCTAGGGCTACAGAAATATGTAATAGTCTTCCTATTTCTTTCACAGTGAGGAGTTATGATGAACCTAGGACAATAAGCTCAATTTGAATGCCTTTATTTTCTACTAAATTCCCTTATCTACTCTTTGTTTTACCTGTTCAAACTCACCAGTCACCTCAAAGTTCCAACCAGATTCCTAGGCCCCATTATTCACCTGCAGTACAAATACCAGAGTTCTCTAAAGATCAGCTGACAATTTATGTTTGCTTTTATTTGATTAATCTTTTACTCTATAAAAAAGAACAAGCACATTCCATGCCTTCAGAGCTCCTAAGATAGAATGATTTCCAGCTTGTGTTGACATAAACTATATTTAGGATTTTGCACAATAGTTTTTTCCTCTAGATTTTTAACTTCTCAAGGTCAGAGTCTGAGTCTTCTCTGTCCTCCAATATTTCCAAGGGTAAAGAGAAGCTCTGTCCAGGTATATGCTAATATAAGTGTAAGGACCAGGGCTTGACTGTCTGGGAATTGGAACCCAGGCTTGACAAATTACCAGCTGGGTAAACTTCAGCAAGTTCCTTAACTTGCAGTGTTTGTTCCTACGTTTGCAATCATGCGGTTGATGACAGTGTCTATTTCATATGGTTGCACAAAATAAATGAGTAAATACATGAAAAGCATGTAGTATTATGGTAAGTTCTCAATACTCTAGTGATAGGCAATCTTTAATAATAAGCTCTTGTGAAACAGATGTTTGGTATGTTAAAAAAAAAATAAAAATAATAAGCTCTTGTATTTTCCTTTTCCCCATAAGGATAAAAGAATGAGAGCAAAAGGTTGGCCCACTTGTGAAATAAAAGGTTGTGAAAAGCTTCACGTGAAAACACTCTCTTAGTCCTTGGAGAGGGGCACACAAGGACAAGGCTGGTGAATTACCCATGAGCCCCCAGGGCCACATGACACACACCAGGGTCAGGCAGGTCTGGGAATCGCATGAGAGAAGGGGGCTTCCCAGAGGTCAGGAAAACGTGAAATGGGCTATTTCGAGTCCAGGGTCCTCTGTGCATTGCCCCAGTTAAGTGTGAAAGCCCTGATGCTATCGAGAGTAACTAGGTTGGTCCTCACACTTGGGGACAAGTTGGAAGGTCTAATTTATGAATAACTCAATAGAGCCCCGACAAGGGGGAGGTTAGGGTGATTTCCCATGGAGAAGTGTCTTCTGGACCCACTACTGGAACCAGGTGGGATGAAGTGAGGGGTGCTCGACGTGCAATAAACTTTAGCCATGTCAACAGAAAAAAGCCAAACTCTGTAAGATAATTTTAAAGAGATTTATTTTGAGTCAAATTTGAGGACCATGACCTGGAGCCACTCGCTGTGGCTGGGTCAGTTTGGTTATATACATTTCAGGGAGACAGGGGTTACAGGTAAAGTCATAAATCAATACGTGGGAGGCATACATTGGTTTGGCCCAAAAAAGGTGGGCCATCTCGAAGTAGAGGCTTACAGGTTATAGGTGAGTTTAAATATTCTTTGGCTTGTAATTGGTTAAAGACAAGAAGCTTTATTTAAAGGCTTGGAATGTTTTAACCTAGGGAGCTGTTAACAGAGATAAGCCATCAGGCATAGATTTGTTGTGTAAATTGAGGACCAGAAGGTTTGTCTTGCATAACCTTAGGCCTTTTAATGGGTTACAAAGGACGGTCTCCAAGAAGGGAGAGGGTCATGATGAGGCATGTCTGACCTCCCTCCCCCAGGCAGACAATTTAGTTTTAGGATTTTTTTGGCCACGAGGGGGTCCATTCAGTAAGCCGGCGTGTGTGTGTGTGTGTGTGTGGGGGGGTGAGTCTTAAAACTGTATTTTAGTTTACAGCCAGAAAGCATAGGCCGTCCCGGTTAGGGCCACACAGGAGACCCTCGCTCCCCAAATCCGCTCTCCAGGTGGGCTCCGGAAGCTCCGCACTCACCAAAGTCGTAGAGGTTCTGGAGCAGAGCATCCAGAAGTGTCGGAGAACCGGGCGACGCGACACGTCCCGGCCCCTTCTCCTCCGCCATCGTGGGGTCTGCCGCACACCCACAGCCCGAGCGCCCACCCCGTCTCGGCCGCGCGGCGCCCCTGCTTCCGGGTTCCGGCGTCTGTGCGCGTGCGCGGCAGGGCCCCGCGCGGCTTCCGTTCTGGTTGAGATGGCGGTGCCCGGGGTGCTGTGGAGCGGCTGCAGCGGGTGCCGCCGCCCTAGGCGAGGTCGGGCCTCCCTACGCGAAAGAACCGCCCCCAGAGGCAGCTGCAGCAGCACTGCTTAGCAAAGATCCCCAGGCCCACCCGGGAAGGCAGCCGCACCATGGATCCTTCCAATTCATCTAACTGTTATTTCTCCGTCGGCCCCACCAGCTCCAACGCGGTCGTGCTGCTCTACTCGGTAAGCGCCCAGGGAACGAGGCCTGGGCGGGGCTGCGAGAGGATCCGCTTCTCCCGGTCCCGGCTTCCTCCAGCCCAAGACACCTGCCCAAAAGAGGGAGTCCCGAGGCAGGATTAGGTGGTTGGCTTGGTTTCCAAGGCAACGGTGTATTGTGTGTCTGTGCGAATGTATGTTTGCTTTTAGAAGTTTCTACCAGTGGTGATGGGCCCTTTGGTTCCTTTCTGCTTGTTCCTTCTCCTTCCCACCCTCAGCCGATGGGCTTTTAGAAAGCCCATCTGGACACAGGCTGGAGAGATTAGAATTGGAGTCTCAGGATCCCTAGCGAGGGCGTGTCGCCCTTCAAGTTAGCGTGGGCAAACTTGAGAAACCTGCGGGTCTGACCCAGCCTGAGGTAGCCTGTGTGGCTCAACACCCAGCCCTTTCGCTGATGTATTCTTGGCAGAAAAGTATTTGGTTTGTATGTGGAAGTAGTGTTTTTTTTAAAAAGACTCTTATATGGGAAAATTCAGAACTTCTGGAAATTTCTATGGCCTGTTTTTGTCTTTCGTTCATTGTACTTTTTCCATATATCATTTTGGAGGACAACCAATGCCACCCAGCCTCTCTCCAACTTGCCTTTACACCTCCAACCCCCTCTTCCTCTCCTAGTTTTAACGGGTTTTTTTGCCCGTTAAATGCAGGATGTTGGTTGCTCACAGTTTTCATGAAGAAATTATGATGTGGAAGCTTTGTACCCCTCAGGATTTCTCATTCCTGGAGCAGCTGATTTGTTTTTTGTTTGTTATTTTTAACCACCAAATTACTTTTTAACTGCTTTAGAAGGAAATAAACGAATACATTTTAAAAGTATATTGCCATGTCCTGGTGGTTAGTGTTAGTTTCTGACTTAAATATGGTGTTCATTTGTGCAGGAAGGTCAAACAGGAAAAAACATAAAACAGCGTGATAAACAAAAACCCCAGTTTCAAAAGAAAATATGTCTACCTTTAAATTGGGACACCAGTATTCTTTGGAACATGGGGAAACTTCTGTTGCCTCTCTCTCTGTCAAGAATTTAGGGTTTATAATTGCTGTTAACTGCCTACTTCTTTAAAGCTTATCACTTTAGCCGTTCTAATCATTGACTTTCTCAACCCACAGTTCTGTAGAGTAGCGGTCCCCAATATTTTTGGCACCAGGGGCCATTTTCATGGAAGATAATTTTTCCAGGGGGGGATATTCAAGCACATTACATTTATTTTGCATTTTATTTCTATTATTATCACATTGTAATTATGTAATGAAATAATTATACAACTCACCATAGGTTGGGGACCCTTGCTGTAGTGTAGAGGGGTCCCCCATGCTTCGACTTTGTTTTCTTTCTCTGCTATTCCAGATCAGGCATATAGGAAAGAGCAGCTATGTGTTGCACATCCAGCTTGTAGTCTTGTAGCTTTTTGAAACCTAAATTGGTTTGTGAATTGACTGGAGTTTTCCTTTTGTCATTAAAGGAAGGAGTTGGGTTTTTTACTTCCCCTTTCAACCGTGATTGTTTAGTGATAAGACTTTTGTCAACTTTTCCGAGTGAAAGACTAAGACAATTGTATGTAAGCATATGCTACTTCTAATGCTGGACAGCAGCCCTCTCTTTAACAGTAGTTTTTGATACCCTTTGTGATTCCACAGCCTTTACTTCTATGATAACTTGGACTTTTTCTTACTACTTTAGGCTGTCTTTATTTACTCAGCCACGCTGTTATTGTGTAATAGTCTCTGTCTAATCTGAAAGTAGCACTTAGAAATGTTTAGGATACTCCTGATTACACCAAACATTAGGAGTATGTACAGTATCCTAGTCATTATTCTCACCAGATCTGGCCCTTGCCTTTGAGAGCACAGGAAGTCCTAAAAGTAAACAAATAATTACAATTAAATGAGATAAAGTTAGTGATTGAAATATGTACAGCATGTTGTGAGAGTAAGGAGAAGGGGCACTTAACCTGTTTGGGAACTTGGAGAAGGCTTCTAAGAGAAGGTGACACCTGAGCTGAGTTTTTGAGATATAAATGGAAGATGAAGGAGGGGAGACTGTCATAGGTATCAGTGTAAGAAAAGCCACTCCCTTTCATATTTGGGGTTATAAATAGTTAGATTTGGGTAGAATAAAGGAGACATAAGAAACAAAACTTAGTAGGCAGAGGGTACTTCCTAAAGGAATTTTATGTATCATGTTTACATACCCTTAAATATAAAATCTTAACTTTATGGGAGATCTTAATCTTAACATTTATATTTTGAAAGTCTAAGAAGACTACTAGGTTTCTGGAGTGATTGTGTGGGTAACCTCTTTTGCTTAAGCAGAGTCTGTGGAAAGAGAATGAGACTGGGGAAGGAATCTGATGCATAATAGCATGGAGATCAATTAGGATGCCATTGCAGTAATCTAGAGAAATGGCGAAGCCTGAAGTGAGACAGTGACAGTGGGCCTGGGAAGAAGGGAGATGGAGGAATATGGTGTGATATTTAGGACAATAAATCATCAGCCCTTGGAACAAGAAGAATGTGGTGGCAAAGGAAAAGGAGGCAGTCTGAAGTTGATTCTTGGGTTTCTTTTACCTGGCAACTGGGTAGATGATGATATCTTTCACTGATAGGAAGTACAAGGAGCAGAGCAGGTTTAGTCAGGGTAATATAGTAATTTCAGTTTAGGGTGTGTTCAATTTGAGATGTAAGAGACAAAAGTGATTTTTAACTTGGGGAATATCATGTCTTGAGCCAGATGCATCACAAGGTGTTTGGGAGACATCCAAGTACAGTTAGAAATATGATGCCGAGCAAGAGAGGAAGGTGGGCTTAGATATATAGATTTGGCACTCTTCAGCAAGTAGGTTGTATCTGAAGCCATAGGTGAGCCTGCCATCCTTCAGTGAGACCATAGGATGAAAAGAAGACTGGGCATGGGTAACCACTGGCATATCATAATCCAAATCATGGCTTCCTGTTAGAGTCTGAATGCAAGACCTGAACGCCTCTCAATGTCTCATAAGACTTTATATTACCTGGTACTTGCTGCTCTGACTTTACTAATCTTGTTCACTGGTCTTCAGCTACTCTGGCCTTCTGCCTGTCAGATAGCAAGCATGCTCTCTCCTCAGAATGCTCATAGTCCCCTCTATGGGCGTGCTATGTTTTCCCAGCAGTTTTTGTTGCTGGCTCTTTTCGTTATTGAGGTCCCAACTCAAATATCACCTCTTCAGGGAGGCCTTCCACAACAATTTGATCTAAAGTAGCTCTCCAATAATTTGTCCTCATTAGTCACCCTATTTTATTCTTTGTATTCTCTTTCCAGTGGTGCACTACAGTCTTGTATTATATTGCAAGAGCTGATTGTTAAATGTTCATGATTTGTGAGGCCATTGTTAAAACATAGCCATTATTAAAAATTAAACATTATTTAAATTTATAATTAAATTCTGTTAAAAACAAAGGTAACAGTAACAAATATTCAAAATTAGCATTTCCTAAGTATTTTACTGATTTTTGCCATTACCCATGCTCTTCAGGTTATTTATGTCCATCATACTAGAAAGTAGAAAGCCTGTATAACCATGAGCTACTTGGTGTCTCTCACCAAGTTTGTTTTTGTAGGGTCATATTGGTGGCTTGAAATCTGCCATAGGGGCAGTGTATATACCATAGAACTTGGCAAACGGTATAACTCAGGGTTCTCCCATACCAGTTGTTAAATGATTAAACATTGACCAGCACACTACTGGTGGTATTACTAAGTAAACTTACTTTGTTTACTTGTCTGTCTTTCCTTGAGGGCATGTAAGCTGTCTCAGTGCAGTCCCCAGTCTGCCCTGTTCATGCTATATCCTCAGCACGTAAAACAGTGCCTGGTACGTTGTGGGCGCTCTGACCATCTTGAATGAATGGGTCCTCCAGAGCAGTAGAAAGGAAGGTACAAGGCCTGTTCAGCAATTGATAGGTAAAGGCCTACTCTAATTAAAGGCCTGCTAATTAAGATGGGAGAGAAATAGTTCACCTAAATCTTCTTGCTTGGGTTCTTATTTGTATTGTGTTCCTGGGCAAGTAGCTATGTAAATATCTTTATTTAATGATAGCAAATATTTCCCCAGCATGGATACAGAAGGCCAGTTAACAAATAGTAGCACTCAACCCTAACTGCACACAAGAATCACTTCCAGTACTTTTAAAAAGAATTATGATGCGAATCCTAGCACTCTGGAAGGCCAAGGCAGGGGGGTTGCTTGAGCTCAGGAGTTCTAGACCAGCCTGAGCAAGAGTGAGACCCTGTCTCTACAAAAAATAGAAAAAATTAGCCAAATGTGGTGGCACGCACCTGTGTCCCAGCTACTCGGGAGGCTGAGGCAGAAGGATTGCTTGAGCACAGGAGTTTGAGGTTGCTGTGAGCTAGCACAGCACTCTAGCCTGGGCAACAGAACAAGACTCTGTCTTAAAAAAAAAAAAAAAAAAAAAAACAATTCTGATGCCTATGTACCACTCACAGACCAAATTAATCAAGAATCTGTAGGAGTGGAAACTGGACATTGGTATTTTAAGTGTCCCCAATTTATTTATTTTGATGTGAAGCCTGAGTTAAAAAACCACTGGATTAGACATTGATTGGATAAAGGCCAAATTGGAGACGTTTTGAGCTTTATCCTGTGAATATTGAGAAGCCATCATCAACAGGGTTCAATAAGTGGTTTCATTCAGTAATTTATTTTTTCATTCTACAAATTGAATTCCTACTAGGAACAGGAAGCCTGTGCTGACACAGTGGCTGTGGGAATGAGGAGTAGATGTGGTACGTTGTTACAGGCCATGTTAAAAGGATTGAATGGAAAGGATGAGGGGGAAGGCATCTAGAATATTGCAGAGGGGTGTAGATGGTGTGACAGTTGATGATTGAGAT